CCCCAAAACCCCAAAACCCCAAAACCCCAGAAGGAGTTGTATAATAATATTAATTTAACTAAATATGCAACCAAGATCGTCAAGCTCTCAACTAAAGCAAGAGGTAGGAATTTTGAGATTATTCTTTAGACACCAAAGCCTTATCTAGCAAATCCCATCAGGAAACAAGAATATAGCCGCATTGTAAGCAAAAAGCTATCATTTTGGTCAATACGTTATTTTACTAACAAAGTTGAACAATATGCATCAATTGGTTTAGGTCAACTCAAAAGGAAGCACTATAAAGAGGAAGAAGCAGTATAGTTTAGAGAGAGGGAAAAGCACAGTTTCGCTTGATAACTTCAACAATACATCATCTGGACAGACAAATAGCCAACATGCCACATCGACGGCTAGGACTAGACAAAAACTGTAAGGAGATGGGTTTTGTATTAAGATATTCAGTAATAGAGTCAGAATCATTTTTAACATTCTTCTGCTTTCAAATATGCCAATTTTTGAGTATTTCAGATTTTCGAAATATTTCAGAATTTTTATTAATTGAGATGAGCAATTTAGGAGTAGCAATAAAATTCTGGCATTCAAGCAAGAGATTGTAGTAGAGTCTAGCAAATAAAGAAAAAGGTATCTTCCTGATTGATGGTGATTAAATTTTGCTTCTTAGCCAGCTCAGTTTCAAAATTAAGTATCTTAGAAAACATTGGAAATTTTGAGAAAGAAAATAGGGTACTGTTCTGAATAATACCTAGACATTATTCAAATCGAATATCCTATCTATTAGAAGTATGCTAGAGAATGAACTTACTCTGGACATATCATTAATAAATGAATATGGTGAGGACTCAGAGCTTCCTCACAAAGGCTCGACCAAGGAAGAAGAAATAAAGAAATTTTTGAGAGATTCAAGTATTCCAATAGAAAAATTACAATCTCGTTTGAATAGCATCACGAAATATTCAAAGGACAGTCAAATCATCTGCCAAGAGATGGGTTGAAAGACAAAAGATGATGCTTTAAGGATCTTATATGAAACTACTAAATATATTGAGGTTTTATGGAATCAGATGATAGCCCTAGAGACAGCTATGATTTATAAATATAATAATAAAGTACAGTCAAACCAGTATGTCTATTACATAACCTGCCTAGTTTCAGCAAGACTATGATGTCCGAGATTGATAACTCTTTCAAAGGATTTGAGAGCTTTTTTAGAAACAGAACTCTTTCATATAAATAACATTATGGAGAAAATTTCTAAGATTTTTGAAGGAGACCTTCCTTCAAAATGTCTGACTGATGCAAACAATATTTCAAAATCGATAAATAAACTTAAAAGGTAAGATTTATTGTGAATAAGTTTAGTATTAGTGATATCGGTCAAAGCAGCTTTGCAAGCTCCCTCATGGACAAAGAAGAGTTTTCAAGAAGCTCTTGAGTATTGCTCGCAAATAAAATTTCGAATGGGGCTGAATCCTATAGGCCTAAACTTGAGCCCTTAAGCTCATCTGCAGGTAATTTCCTAAATAAAATATTAGTTGAGAAGCTTAACCCTCTCAAAAATGCAAAGAAGATAGCTTTTAGGAATAAATCTTTTAAAAGCATAAAGAAAGAAATGGATGACTGTAAAGGTAACTCTCCGAATATCTCATCCAGTAACATTTATAGGAAGTGTCTGCACGAATGAGTTCATCAACTCGATTTTAAAATATGTAGAGTCAAATTTTAGGGCTATTCCAGATATGAAAGAGTCCATGAAAGGTACAAAACACTGAATATGTTTAGATAAACAAGAAGAATGAGACATTTTAAGAAGTAGATGAGACCTTTTACAAAAGCATGTTGAAGAATCTGAAAATTTAAGCAAACATCTTACTAAAGGTAGTTGCTATATCGAACATTTAGAGGTTGAAAGATACCAAATCTTGTGTGAAGAAAATATGAATAAAGATAAGAGTAAGTTTATTTTATAATAAGTAGATAATGAATTTGAGAAAGAAATATTCAAACCCCAAACTAATAAATAGCTCTCCTACTAAAATTAAGACTAATAGGTACACCACTTCGAGTAAAGAATTTCAGGTGTGTTTTGTCTCTGATTAAATAGGACCTAAAGTTGAAGAAGTCACAAGTCAGTAGGCTTGGAAAGCCTATAAAACTCAAGCTTAAGAACAAATAATCACTCAATTTCTCATAGTAAAACTCATTGAAATATATTTCAATTACTTGTGGCTCTTTTGGGGTTTTGGGGTTTTGGGGTTTTGGGGTTTTGGGG